TACACTGGCCATTGTAAAGGTATTTGGATGTCTCTCTGTTTATCTTTGGTTTGTTTAAGCAGCAGCAGCTTGGAGATAGGAAGCTTAGTACAGCAGCACTGGATGGAGGTGGGGAAGAACGAGAGGTCTGAGTTCACGCAAGCAATTTTGCATGTAAATCATCATTGTTTTCTGCTAAGATCACCAGCTTACGTTGCCTACAGGCATCCCAGCTATGCAGAACAATAAACACGAGTTGGGTTAAATCTGTCTGAGGTTTCTTTACGGCATAGTCACCTGTTTGTGTGTTCTGGGTGATGCTAGTCAGTGTTTGCCTGGCTATTTAAATGTCCTGCCCCTTCTGTGTCACTCGAGCATGAACTGTCTTTCTGGTTTGTTTTGCCTATCTGCTGTTAGTCACATATACACATAGAAGCTATCGCCGTGGCACAGTATTTAATTCACTGGTGTGTTTTTCCAGAAGACAAGCAGATGTTTCTCTTGGCCAAAACATACAGGTAGCAGGATGAATGGCAGTAGCTTAAGAGTCGAGTGATCTTCCTTAATGTGACTAGTTTCTGAATGAAAAGCCAAAATAAACAGCAGGTGAATCAGCTATAGAAAACTTCATAATAATCGTAAAACTTTAGACAACGAAAGGTAGGTTCAGTTCAGGAAAATACCTTGGACTAGCTCTTCAGAGCTTGCTTTCCTTTCCTATACACTTAGAAATTAATTCTTTCCTATTCTGACTAAAATTCTCTCTTACTTGAATTCATCTGCAATTTTTATTTAATCCCTCACTCTGTTAACCTGACTAGCTTTTAGTAAGCAGACTTAGAAAAATAAACATACCCACACCTTTCTTTTATGCCTTTTCCACAATGAAATAATTAGACATTTGAGTTTAATACTAAACAAAAAGAAGCCTAATATATATTCCTGAAAAAAATGTGACGGGGAGGGGGGGAAAAAGGAGTTTTCAGCATCAGTGGCAGTGAAGGAAGAGGATTTCACATGTGGCTTAACAGTATTATGCTTTCAGATGGACAAGCACAGTGTAGTTCTGTGACTGAATACGTTAATTTGTCACCTTTTTATTACTCGCTTTTTCATTATGTATTAATATTTTTAACGGAAAACACTTTTACAAAGCAAAATTTAAAAAAAAGCATATGGAAAATGGATTTTTGACTGAATACTTAAAAACATTTTAAAACTTCCATGGATTAGTTCAGGTTTCTCTATTTTTCCAGGGGGAAAATTTAGGAAAACAAAAAAAAAAAAAGACTTTAAGCATTATATGAACTTTTAAGGCTTCTTGGTTGAGTCTATTTTGTTTAAACAAGTTCAAATTTGATTTTATCGGATTTTTTAATTTTCAATGCAAAGCACAATAACTTGGCGATTTATGAAAACATAAAAAAAATTGAGAAAAACTGAGATTTATTGGTTATAGGTTGCCAGCTTATTCACATATGTGGGAGTTAGAGTGTTTTGTTGTTTTTTGGGTTCAGTATATATAGTAACTTTCGTTTGAATATAGTTAGAGTAGCAGCAGAATACTTGGTTAGAAAAAACCAAATCCCTTCCTTTAGTTGGAAGTACCGGTAACTGACTTTTTTTTTTTTCCAGATTAAAACCCAGCAGTCCTTGGGTTATGTTTTTCATTTGAAGATGCATCCTGTATAAAATGTCTGACTAATTAAATTGTGGATTTCTTGCAGTGTTTGATGTTCTGTTGATCCTGAAAAGGAGCAGGCAAGCTGAGTCTTCTTTTTGGCAGGATGACTGTGAAGAAAGAGAGTTCTAATTGCTAACACAATATGTAACTATATAGCTTGTCTCTGATCTTCTAAGACTTTATAGTGCCTTAAAGGTCCTCCTATAACGTCAGCTCACTAATAACTCTTTTCAGTGCTATTATACCTGGATATTTCAGTTTATTTCTTCTCATTGCAGTGTGTGTTTGTGTGTGTGTATGTGTGTGTATTGTAGAAGTCCTGTTGTCAGTTTAAAAGGTGGAGTACAGAGACAGCTGGGAGGCTGAGTGACTTTCTCACAGGGTATCTGGGCAGAGGAGACGGGACCATCTTGCAAGTCACTGTTAGTGAACTGGCCTTTCTTACCTTACTCCTTAGTTTCTTAAATTTATTTCAGGCAAAAGCAAATGCAGCCTCCTGTTGCAAATGCAACAACTAGAGCTATTGAGGAATACACTACGCCTCAATATCTGTAATTTTTTTTCACTTCAGCTATCGCTTTTATTGTTTAAACCTGCATTACAAAAAAGAGCAAAGTCTTAGCTTGTTCTGTAAAGCAGATTTGTGGTGCTGTACAGATAATATAGAAGCATGATACAGTCTGTCCTAATAAAGTAAGAAGAGTGTTCTAGAAAATGTTAACTTCTAATTGTATATTTACTTTCAAGAAATTGTTCTTTTTTTAAAAATACGTTACAAATTTTGTGCCAGGTGCTGACCTTGCAACTTGTGTTAATATACTTGAAGGCAATTTTGTTACGGGTATGTCATGAGCCATCACTGATGGGCTTTTACTTGTAGTGCCTATAGAGGCATGCAACAGGTTTTGCATATCACATCACTAAATTAGAGTCAGGATGTAAAATAACAAAAAAAGTGTTGTATGTCGATGAAGATATAAAAATCTTAGTAGGAAACAGCAATGGATATTGTACATAAATGTTTATAAACTTGCCTTAGATTATTTATAATCGTTGTTAGTTAACGCTTATGCAGGAATGCCTTTGTGGGTTGAATTACAGATAGTAGAAACTGTACAAATAACGGTGGTACATAAGTATTTGTATTAGTTATTACTTCATGTGTTGTTAGAGTAAATGTTAGAGTAGAAAACTCTACTCGTAGTCAGGTTATTCCTCTGTCACTAGCAACTATGGTATCAAAGATCAAAAAAAATTTTTTTTTCAAAATCGGTTTATGCTGCTATATTACACTTCTAGGTCATACGATGGGACTTTTCTTTTGACTCTCTGAATGCGTCTCCCTCCCATCTCCTTCATGGGAGGGAAGAAATGTAAGCATGTTGGGGAAACACTCTTTCTGTAAAATTATATTTATGAACCACAGTCTCTGCATAAACAATTAGCATGCAGTTACTTTTATCATTGTAACACTGATGGAAACCAGTGATTTTTATTTACATTACCACATCTGCATTGCTCAGCACTTAAAGTATAAATCTGAATTTGTTATATAAAACGTGGCATGATAACAGCTGAGGATATTGCTTTGTAGCACTCAGGCTATGTGGGAGAAACTTCAGAAAATGTATATTTCACTCTTGCTGTAACACAGCATTAATTGTGGTAAATAGAGGAAAAAAAGTTTGCTAATAAAGAACAGAATACCTTGGATTATGCGCTTGGGAAATTCTTATCTTAAAAACTTACTAATTATAACCACCTCTGTTTGGCTTCTTCCTTGAGGTCTCTTTCCCCTTCTTTTGCTTTAGCTGGCCAGCACTTGCGAGCTGTGATTAGACTTGGGGGAAGGCGGAGTTGTTTGTTTTGTTTTGCTTTGTTTTAAGATAAACTAGCAAATAATAGCAAATTGTTTTGCTGTAACAATGTTGTAGATTCTTTTTGCATGATACTTTGAAGGACCTCTCTTTCACTAGAATGTCAAAGAGAGCATTTCTGTAGCATGGAGCTGTGGGAGGTGAATGCCCTGGCCATGAGCCCAGCATCATTTTCACGTCTTCAGATGTTTCATTAGTCCTGACCATGTGTCCGCTCCCTTTCTCTGAGGACACCAAGAATTGACCAGAGCAGCTGCTCTGTTCCTTCTGATCAAACTTCCTCAGAAGAAAAACTGTAAAAAGATTATTTTTCCCTCATTGGAGACTGTTGGCAATAAGTAGCAAGTGGATGCTTCTCAGCGAGCCTACGCTGTGTAGCTGTCACTCCTCCCACCCTCACAACCCCCAACTCCATGAGGAAGCCAAATACTTTTGATGTTGAGTGCAGGGTGTGGGTGTATGTGGTTTTTAGTGACTACTTTTTGTCACTCCAGTGGGACAGGTAGCACTTTCCAAGTGGTAGCCAGCTGTGTTTGAAGTGTCTTTGGCTGCACGAGTGTCATTACCCTGACAGAACCATGGTGCTTAGAGGATGGTGTGTGCAGAAACCATCAGCTACTTCATTTTTCTTGCAGCTTTGGGAGTTTTATTGCTCGTGTTCCAGACAGTGGCTGGCAATGGCTGCTTATGGCTCTTCTGTTTCTTGCACGTTGTCACAAATTCTTCTGGAGGCAGATCTCAGAGGGCTGTAGCCAAAATCAATTTGGATTTCTGAGCATAGTACCTATCTGCAGCAGAAATGGGGCGCATATATATATATATATATATATGTATATGTTGAGTGCATCTCAGCAAATTTTTTTAAAGCGACATAAGACTCTAGGCTGTCTGTCAGAGCACAGTACTCCTGAATTTTGACTTCTCTTTCTTGGGGCTGAAGCAATTTGAGTTTTCTGCAAATCTACTAGAAAAGTTGCACCTTGCTCCACCAATAAAAATGCTTGTTTGCCACTCAAAGTGCTTATGCATTTGTAAAAGGAGGAAGATAAATATTCAGTATTTTCTAGAATATTTTGTCTTGTTTTGATTTCACCAAACACTTAAGTGTATACTGAGTCTTAAATCTATGTTCACAGTTTATTTACTTAGTCTAAGAATATATTTAAATGTTTTACTGTAGCGAATTCTGTAGCAAAAACAGAAGCTAATAAAAATTTAACACATTTTGTATCTCCGTGACACTGTTTATAAATGATCTTAGAGTGTCATTTCACTTAACGTTAAAAAAAAGCAAACAGTTCTCTTCCAGTATGTGAATGGAATGTGGAAAAAAAATAAGAAATGGAAATGTCTGGCAGTTCTTTTGTGGCCACCTCTTGTTCTGCCCTATCTCCTGTCTTTCCAAAATAATGGTACTAGATATTGACTTGGTGTTTGACTTGCCAACTTTGTCTTAACAGGCAACGACAGAAAGGCCTTTTATACAGAAGCTGTTTCGACCAATTGATTCAGGAGGACAGCTGCATACTTTGGGAGATCTCCTGAAAGATATGTGTCCTAGTGCTATTACACCTGAAGGTACTGTAAAGCCACCTTTTGTCCAATAAGTCATTTTTCTTCGTTTATATGGGGCATAGTGGAGGCAGAAGTATGCCTCAGTGTGAGCAGTTTGGAGTTTACTCCATTCTGGGCCTTTCATTGTGCTTATACGTCATTCACAGAGGACAAGGCTATGTTCTTAGGTACTCCTGATGAATTTATTTCCAGAAGTTTTATTTTGAAGCACATGTACTCCATGGCCATCCCACAGTAATTATAATATTTGCCTTTCATTTTCTGCAGTTTTAACAAGTGGTTTGGAGAAGTCAACAAAAACTGTTTATTTTCATATGTATTCGTATGGAAAGCTCGGAAATGGATGGACATTGCAGTATCTACAGATTTTTTTTCCTGTATGTTCCTTTAAAAATAGACCAAAAAGGAAAAAAGAGGTTGTTAGAAGGATGTAATAGTTTATGTAGGTATAACAGTTACTAATAGGTATTGAACAGGTATTGTATGATGTACTGATTTGTTCATGTAGCATCATATCATTTTGCATAAGGGCATTTATTGATTATCACTCATTCATATGGGTAAGCATTTCTGGCTCTTATTTTAACCTTAAAGATTACAGATTCTGGAACTCTACTCTCATTTACTTTTTTTTTTTTGGTGCAATAAATGTGAAAATCACTCTTGCAAAGTGGGAGCACAATCATTTAATGTGAAAAGGGTTTCCATCTTGTTCTTGCTGTTGTGTCTCTAAGTGTGTGTATGGTGGGTTCTGGCTTTTTTAAAATAGATGTTATTTTGAGAAAGGATATTCTAGAGGACACCTTGGAACAGAATATACTTGTTCAGTATCATTGCCTTCTGACAGTAGAAAAGTACCTTTGAAATAGGTGTCGTAAGCACCTGGACAGAGAAAGTGAGAAAGGAGTCAATAAAAGCCTGAAGGGAAGAGAAGCAAGTGGATCTATATTGATTGTAAGACACCCAGGAAAAAATGGGACTTAAAGTCTGTCTGCAGAAGTGACTAGAGTGGTCTAAAGCCCATTTGGGAGAAACAGGTTGAAACAAAGGTTGAGAAGAATAGTTTATGCCTGCAGAGCAAGGAGCTGTAGGTGGAGTGATGGTCAGGTGGAGCTGCAAATAGTCAGGTATGGGACTGGGGAACATCTGTGAACAAGGAGACTGCATCTCAGGGTTATAAAATGAAGAATTGAGTATATGGCAACATGGACAGAAAACACCTAGGACAGATTATGAAGAAAAAGGACCAGGACAAAACAGAGGTATGTGGAACAAGGGGTCAGCCCTATGGAAAATGGTTCAAAAAAAGTAGACACAATGAGTGGTGATTCCTAGTGCTGAGGAACTTGAACCAGGGGGGTCAATGCACAGAACAGGCAGTGAAGGACAACAGGGGTTTCGGACTGTTCACTTCATCCTACTCTGTTCAGTGGAATTGCAAGATAGGCATTTCGTGGTAGAGGGAACTTAAGGGGTAAAGAGCAGTGTGCTCATATTAGCCCATATTAGCCCATTTGGCTAATGGTGGTTGGGGGAACTGGAAAGGGAGGGAGCAAAACAGAAGAGACCGGTTTATTTGGATGATTTTTGTTTTCTTCTGTCCAGACAGCAGATACTTTCCTATAGGTACTTCAAGTCAGTGTCATCTCTGTACCTCTGACTTCTGATGGTTATCATGACTACTCTCTTCAATTTCTATTTCATTCCAGTAATACATGTTCTGCAGTGACTGCCAACCTCAAGTACCATCCGTCCTGAGTAACATAAAACTTCCTGTAATCCCTTTGGCCTTGCCATTGCTTCCCTGCATCCTGTCTGCACCCTTCTCCTATACCCTCAAGACTTAATCACCACACAGAGCTTTTAGTATATCCAATTCAGTCTGTTCATCCTAAAATTAGGGCCTTCATGCAGTATCTTTTGACTCTCTAGGGAATTTTCTCCTGATACCATATCGGTCATCTTAAGTGTCTTCCTGTTCCCAGAGTGTATGGAGAACAAACTTTGGTTACTGTCTTGCCTGACTTAATCCACTCTCTCATTCACCATTTAAGCATAACAGATGCACCATATTAAGTGTTCATGCTCTAATGCAGTGTTGAGGTACAAAAAATACCACTCGGAAAACCACTCACCAGACTGCGGTGGTGCCACTTTTGAGGTTTGCCTATAGAAATGTTAGCAGCCATAGCTAGGACATACTGCTCCCTGTTCCAGCAGCTGGAATGGACTCCTGAGACTCCAGAACCTCAGCATTTCTGTGCTGCTAAAGTCTTCATGAAACCCACTCAATCAACCCATTTCCTCTCTGATGCTGGTCCACTTGAGAGATTAACAAGCTACCACTGTCAACAGATGCTCTATTAGCTCAACATGCAGAGGGAAGTGCAGAGCTAAGTGTTTCTACCCAGTTTATGGGCATGTGAGAATTTAATTTGTTAGCATTTTTGTGAACCTGGGAAACTACGCACAGATGTTTTTCCTTTAATGCAGTTAAAAGAAAATACTCAATGCATTTGAAGTTGAGCAGTTGAAATTTAGGATGTATCAGAATTTGAAACTGCCTGTAGAATTTTAATTTCTATGTATCTGTGGGTCTGCATCCCCCTCTTCCCTGCCATCTTGTCACAACACTTTTCCAGCACAGACTAAGAATGTTTTACAGTTAGGCCTGTACAGTGAAAATCACTGTTCTGATTGTTGAAATGATAGATGGTGAATGATTGTACTTCAGCACACATGATTAAGGCAGCTTTATATGGCTTTTGGGAACTGGATTCATTCTTTTCTCCCTTAGAGAGTTCATATATGATGCTGGGCAAGCTGGTTAGTACAAAACCATACATTTAATGAACATGATCACTATGGTTTTTTTTTCCTTTTCTTTTTTTTTTTTTTTGGGGGGGAGGGGGGGGCGCTTCTGATCTGAGACTGTTCTGCAGGACATCTTGATTACTTGTACCTGGAACTGGTGAGATCTCTGGAGCTTTGAATATATAAAATGCCAGGTGCTCACTCAAGTCAGGTTCTGAGCATCTCATAACTTTTCTCCCCAGCCCCTGAGAAATGGATGTATCCAGCTATAGCAATAAATCCAATTTCTGGACTTAAGTAGTCTGTAAAATTATGATATTATCTTTCCATGGCAAAATCTAGGTGAAGCAGAGTTACTAGAGGCCAAATAGCTTATGGTCAAGGTTTTTTGAATTTTGTGGTATAAAAATCTCTCCTTGTGCCCTATGTGCCTAGTTTTTCTATTTTTTAATTTTTATTTTTGTGAACTTGCATGCTTTGTCTTAATCTACAGCTTTAATTTATTCTGATAAGAGTGCTAAAATTGTGGGTTTTTTTAACACAATTTAGTTATGTTGTGGCAAAATAACATACATTTCCAAAAGACATCTCAGAAAGTGGTGACATTTTTTTTCTACATTGTATGTTAAGAGTTTATTCAGTGCTATTAAAATTCAGATTTACTTGATAGTTCTGAACAAAGAAAATACAGTAGGTGATCAAAGGTATGCATAAAGACATACTAAATATTGGCAAAGAAGTGTTTTTATTTTATTTTTTGCTCTTATTTCAAAAAGTAGTTTTGATATTTTTCTGAGACCGTTTTCAACCTCCTCCAAGAACTAGTGCACTGGTGACATTAGCTGCATCTTTTTGTCAGTGCAATGCAATCCGTATGAGCTTTTTTCTTTCTGTTTTCTTCCATCTGTTGTGCTTTTTTTTAACCTCCCCTCTGTGTTTTCTCTTTTCCAATGACATTTCAACTGGAAGCTTCATGCTAATTGTGGTGATTGCCTCCCTTTGGTGACATCCGTAACCGAGCTTTGTGCCGTGGGAACACAGAGAATAATGTTTTTCAGAGTCAGCATTTGCAGCCATATATGTGAGCTGTTCCTGCTGCCAGATACTTAGGGACCACCACAAGAAGAGAGAGGGAAGGGTTTCAAGAGCCACCCACAGCGTGTATATGCCTTTGCTTTAGGAAGCATGGATGTAATTAAGTCTCTCACTTAACTGTGCTGAGAATAAAATGTTTCAGTGAAAAGAAAAAAATTACATCTCTGTTGATTGAATATATGCCCTGGTTATCAACTGTTGAAAAACACAATGTTCAATTAAGAATGTTGTCAGAAGTAGAGCAGGTTGCCCAGATTTCCATTCTGGTTACGTTAAAAGATTCTCGGTGCAAATATGCCTTGTAAAATGTTATGTCAATAGTACTTTGGGCTATTACAAACTGTGGGTAACTGTTTAGATACTACATTTTATTTAAATTAACTTATAAAATTATTTATTCAAGCCTTTCACTGTATGTAGAAGTGCTCTAAACTAGAAATACTCGAGCAGTTATTATTTCCAACCAGTACCTCCTTGTGTCTCCACAAGCCGATGCTTTATTCAACTGTGTAGATAGAGCCCTTGATTAATGAACGTTGTACAGCAAACACCTGTCTCAGTTGCACAAGAGTTTCATCCCTGTTCCTCAGAGAAAATCTGGTGGGTAGAAGCTGAGGACTTTTTGTCATGGATGTTCTTAGACCAAAGGGGAAAAAAAAATGTTTTTCTTCTCTCCTTCAGACTCAATCCCTTAAGCCTTCAGACTAGAAGGGGTGCGAGTCTGCTCTCTCGCTCTTCCTCTCCTCTCCCTGCTGAATCACTGCAGGGGAGGTATCACAGACAAGACAGATTTCTGAGGCTGTTTGTCAAAATACATGCATTTCAGTAACTGCATTTTTAGTCAGGGTGAAAAAGTGTGAAGAAAAGCAATAGTTTGAACTAGAAAAAGCGCTAAGAGGCCAGTGCAGTTCTTGGAAGCTTTAGGAATTGCATGAGTTGATAAGCTTCTCTCATTCTTCTATTACCTGCTGTTTCTCTTTGCTCTGAATATATTGGAATAGTGAAATCATGAGATGATGCACGTTTTGAGGTCTACCACCAACTTGCATCATTTATCTCTAGCTGGTAAAGGCCAGGGAACATCGCTTGTCCAT